GATAACAAGAGCTGAGAAAAGGAAAGCAGCGGGCAGTCAGTCGGTCGTAGTCGAGTGCCGAAATCGGGAGCCCAAAAGTACTCCTCACCTCCAACCCCATTCTAACCCTTAGTTTTTCTAATTATTAAGTAACTAATTCTAAGTTATCTCTAACACTCCTAAACATTTACAAGTCGTTATTCTAACGTAAAATTCTTAAGTTATTAACCAATTACTTTAGCTGTTTTGTCTATTTTGTAACTCTAATTATACTTAGGATATTCGTAAGCATATTATACATCACGAATCACGTAATACACATATATATACATATACCACCTGTAGTAACTCTATTTTTACTCTCCCTCATTCGAACATCCTTACACGGCACATTTTCCCCTATGTCCAAACGGAATCGCGACATACCGTACTCCTCCCTAGTGCCCATCGGTTATTTACAAGTGACTCGAATATCCGAATTTGCCGCCGCACGATCCAGGACGAGGTTTCCCAGCGTCGGCAACACCTAGAGGTCTAGGAGGTGCTGAGCCACACGAGCCACGGGAGCGCCATCCAGAGACACAGAGAGCAACCGCTCTATGCATACTATCGGTAAGTCAGTATCTACACTATACGTGCGAAACCACGACTAACGCCTGCGACCGGCCTACCGTAAGGTTATACCACGCGTCTTGCACGAAATCCATCGCGACTACCCTCGATCGCACGGATCCCCGGGTAGAATCACGTGATTCGTTTAGCCCGAAAATTGCGATCTAGTCCCGTGCTAGGGTTCGAACGCGATCCTTCGCGGCAGCGTGGCCGCAACCCGCCGGGACGTAACACTATTATGTAAATTCGCGTCTTGTGTGCAGGATCCATTACGTTACAGTTATGTCAATTTGTGTGCGGCGCCACTTAGGCTTGTTCTGCAATAAGTCGTATGTCGCTGTCGGACGTCGGAACGTAATCAATGGGTCAATCAGAGGATTTGTTTTTTGAGACGAGTTCTTCTTATTGAAAGATAAATTCCTTCGGTTTAACTAGAACTAATTCTCTCTACTAAATTTCTACCCGATTTCCTCTCTTCGTTGTAAATATCCCTAACCGTCCCGACGATCTTCAACGATTCGAACTGCCGGTCTAAGGACTTTCTGGGAACATTAATAAGA